GTCTGCATATCGTTTGAAAATAATAGAGAAACAGATTCCCCCACCAAACCTCGTGCGATACGATAGATATCCACTCTCGTCAGTTAAATCTTTTAGATATTTAAAACACTCGGCGAGCCTGGCGTTTTTAATTTGAAAATTTAATTCTCTCGAGTACATTAAAATCGTATCACACTCGTTACAGTGGTAGACGAAACGCGCGTCTTGCGTACAAAATTTCAATCCTAGGTCGATGCAACTGCTGTTTGAGTTTTTCTCCCCGAGGGTATCAACAGCCCAGTAGTCAGCACTTCTGTGTAGACCTGAATTATCATTCATATGGCCATAATTATAAATTAACTGTTTACAAAACTTTGAATTTTTGCAATATTAAAGATATTCTACCCCAGAAATAGATTACCTTAGCTATATTTTGCAAAACTTTTAGGAATTTTGGGTCCTCTATGCTCTTCAACTTCGTACTTTATTTGGCCTTTTTGACTATTTTGATTCGAGCGTCACTGATGAGTCTTTTGTAGACAAAACGCGCGTCTGGTGTACAAAATTTCATTCCTGGTATCTATGATGAGTTTATTTACATAGACTTTAGGTTTCGAACGCACACTATTTTCTTTTTTTGATTCGTTTTCTTTTAGATATCAGGAGATAATTTACCAAATGTATAATGATTTAGATTTTTTACCAGATACCAATATTTGAATTTTGACAATCGTTTAATTTTCACCATGTGGTGTAACTCTTAACAGCTTAGCAGAATATAGGTAACAGTGATCACAGTGGGATACTTCCAATTTTTTATGTAATTTTTTTTTTTTTATATTTTTGGCTAACTTTTAGAGATCAGGCATTCTCTCTACTTAAACTACTATATGATGTTAAATGTGTATTAAACTTAATAGTTGTGTTTGTTTCATTGTAGATGTTTTCTCCAAACTTAAACGATTTAATTATTTCAATCTAAAAACTGTGTCAATATAGTTATTTGCTTTCTTTGTAAAACAAAACATAAATCATTGTTCCAAGACAGCTTTGATATGTTTATAATTGCCAACTACAGTAACTGCTGGCTTACATATTGATGCACTGTGCCTTTTATATAGTTAGATACGAAATTCCAGGTACTAGGTGAAAAAATGTGACGTTTTCAACTACACAATTACAACGCCTAATTAATAATAATTTTTAAGAAAGTAATTATCCTATATATTTAAAGTCTGAACTTGCCGTGATATCACGGCAGACAAAATATTCCTTTGAAAAATTGTTTTTCAAAAAATATAAAATTCTATAAGAATGAAATCACCAAATAAATAACTAATGGGTTCTAAATAAATGTCAGGACTAATTTTTATCTTAAAAATGACCGGCCAAAATCTTATTAATTTAATTTTGAAAATGTCAAATCAAAGATCCTGCTTCAAATTTTCCAAATATATCACGGCAAAAAGTAAAACTTCAGTATAAATTGTTCAAATTTCAATTCTACAAATTTTGTACTATATATTCCTTTATAACGATAGTTAAAACAGAACTGTGAAAACTGACGCATGCGAAAAAATTAAAACTATACGTTATAAAGTGCATGCGTCCGAAAAGCTTTTGTTGATTTACCTTCATCAGGAACGCTCAAAGCCGAATATCTAAAAGCCAAGGATGTATAAAAAGCAAAACAAATGAAGAGCTATTTAATCAAAAAGACCCAAAATTAGAGCCAAATCCAGCTAAGGTCAACTTTGCCTGAGGGAGTTGAAACTTTAGTTTCTTTATAATTTCAAAATTTATAAACGGACAATTTTAAAAAGGTTTGTTATAAATCATGTCAGTACCGACGTTCTGACTACTAAGATGATGATACCCTCGGGGACTGATGGTATGTGATAATAATGGATGCAACTAATTCTTCCATATGCAAGAATCTATGTAAGAGCAACATAGAGAATAATCGAACCAAATCAATAACAAATCAAAGTCCAACATACTGAATTCATTGCAATCAAAAAGCTGTCTGTGATTTTGTTAAATTGACAACTAAATGTTTTCTTAAAATAAAAAAATAACCAATCAAAAACGAATTAAATGGATCTTCGTGCACGAAAAAATTAACTATATTTTACTTGAAAATGTTCAAATTTTCCTTTATAACATCTTAAAAAGCATAATCGCGTCGGATGTGTGGTATTCGCATTCCGGTCTCGATTGGAGAAGATGAGCTTTCTCTTACCAGCCTGATTTCTTCACACTACAATTATAGCCTCGTCAAGCATGGCATTGAAGAAAACCAGCATAGACACAGTAAGTTGTCTTTCTTGTATGCTCTGTTACCTTTTGAGATAATTACATATATGAAGTGTATTCACATTTCAATAGCAATGATTAAAACATTTATAAATAGTCTTGAAAATGTGTGGAGTAGCAACAATAAATAAATCAATAAATAGAAAAGGTATTTTTGTCTGAATTTGCTCTAGACACTTTAATAGGCTTTTAACATTTACTTACTAGTAGTATCCAAGTTATTACTAACTAATATTTATAAATAAAGTATTATGGTATATGAATAAGTAATCTAACAATTTATCAAATGACTACAATATTACATGTTCAAATATATAGCTGTCGGGTATAGTACTGTCTCCATTCAAAACCCGATTTAAGATTAACTTTTACAGTTTTATTTCTCATGTGTTCTTCATTTTCTTATTCTATATACATATTCTATCATTAAAATTATATGACATTGTATTCTCCAAGGAAAGAAGAATCTACATCCCTAAATTAAAAGTTACTTCACTTCATTGGGTTAATTTCATTTGCTTTTAGCATTTAAAAGTGAAATATAGATTGAAATGAGTAAAATATGGGCAAAGCATTTATTGCTGAAAATAACAGAAGTAAATTGGCAAAAGTGAAAATATTTTACAGTTAAAGATAAGAGACATTACAAAATCCAATCGTAAGTGGGAGTTTCTTTTGGTTCACCCATGAAAGAGACCGCGCCTATTAAAAACGTTTTACTGATTTAAAGAGTTGTTTCAATTAAGATTATCACCACACCTTAAAAGAATAGAAGCGATGACACAAAGTGAATCGTTAGCAAGTGACATACAATCTGCTTATTAAATTGTAATATGAGCAATCAATGGCACAGCAACTGAACGACAAAAAGAACACAAATGTTCCACACTTTCAAATTATTATCAAACTTTTTTGATAATATTCAATTCAATTCTGTAAATAAATATAAGAACAGCATCACACGATTTTTATGTACCACCTTAATCATAAGTTTTAAGTTTAAGTCTAAAAACAAATATAAATTATACAATAATATAAAACTTTAGAATATATCCAATTGATTATTGAATTACACATACTTTGGTGAGATATAATATCATATATTTGGGATGTTTGTATCATTTGGCGATTTTTTAACGAAAACAAAATCGCGATGCTCCATCATATAAACCTTGGAAAATTAGTTTGAAGCTCATGTATGAATTAATATCCAACTCCAACCCATGCAATTACAAAATATTAACTAACAGAAGCATAAACTTTGTTACAATCGACATGCCGATGTCCTATTGATATATTTGTCTGCCGAAACTAATAAAGCAAATAAATTGCCAATCACATACTCAACTCAACCTCGATATGAATTAGTCGAATGGGATATGATATAACCGTTTGACAAATTCAAGATTCTAGTATTCCGAGGTCTCGAGTTTCTTTATTTTAAATTATAAACTTGTTCATTGTATTGTTATCTGGTATGTTATTGTTAAAAACGTGTTTTTTTCCAAGTCAATATAAGTTACAAAATTGCTGAATGAGCAAAACATATTTGGCTATGTATGCATTCAATTCAATTGTTCATCGCTATCCGTCAAAATCTAGTCTGAATCGTATTACATTACTTTTATCCATTAATTATAAAATGAGTATTCTTGCCCTTAGATGAAAGTTTTTTTGCTGGGTGTTTGAATTTTTTCCATAATTACAGCCAGGTAAATAGTGTTATACAAACATAACTATCAGATTTATCAAATTATCAAATTATCAAAGGTGTCGACAAACAATGCATATCCGATTCGGATTGTTATACAAAAGAATTGATTGACATATTATTTTAATTAGGAAACTTCTTTTAAAGCACCACAAAACATACAATTTGAATAAATGTCTCAGTTTTTTTTTAACTTTGAATATATTCTTTTCTTTTTAACTTTTCTTCTACTGCAAAATTACATGTAGACAAATCGTAGATAATAAGTGTACATATCTTTCTTCGAGACATTAAATGTTATCGAGTTAATCGAGATTTCGAAGTAACAGTGTTCGACACAATCAGGTTCAAATTTATTGAAAAATCGACTGATCTGAGTTTTCGAAACAACCGAGGTAAACACAAAAAGATTGGACTGCAGTAACGTTTTCCAAAAAGTGACAGCTTTTCATTAAGTGATTTTCCAAACCTCCATTTATACATGTTATAATTAAAATAAAACATTTGGGATTTATCGACTGATATATTTCAATTATTTGATATATCAATATAATATTCTATCTTATTATTTTTAGAACTACTTATTTGACTAATTTATCACTATATATCAAGTCGATATATTTAAACAGATCATAACAGTGTCTGATCACTGAGTTCTGAGAGGGTCATTCCCTGAAAAGAGTATATTTTAGATTAGAACCCATTTGATAAGAAGCGTAGTGTGATGGTACTTATATGGTTTCCTTCCAGTATTTAAAATGGTTTGGACTTTCTTATCAGAATAATGTTTACTTTATACCTATACTTTTCCTAAATAAAAAGACAATTTTAAGGTTGATAGAATATTATGATGTCATTATTATACTTCAGAATAATCACTTTTACTTACTTTTTCATTTTAAAAAAAGCAATTATGTGATTATGTTGTTGTTATATAATATGTTTCCAACATAATTGGACAATTGAGTTTTGTATATCGGCTAAACGACTGATGAAATTTCCCACTGCCTACTAAACTATCTTATCACTAAATTTCAAATAAATTAAACTGGATTTATGCAAATGAACGGGAAATTAATCTTAATTGTTGTGAAAGTTATGATATAAAAGAGCTGTTTTAGGGCGTACAAAGCAACGTTCCCGAGGATTTTGCGAAATATGGAAGTTTTACATTTTGTGCTGCTATCCTTTGTAAGTACATGTTTATGATTTGTCGAGTGCTTTTTTACATAGATTTCAAGTAATATATTTATTTGACAAAAAAGGTAGTTAAATTGATTTTATGAAATATATAAATAAAAAGAAAACATGAAATGTAGAATGCTCTAAAGGTAGATACAAATCAAAAGACAGTTTTGTTTCACCGCAAGACATGTGTTTTTCGATTCTATTTTTACTTAGTATTTGTATTTTGACTTTGTATATCGTTTTGTACTTATATGCCTGTTATTTGATATTTTTCAATGTGCAGTGTTTTTTTTTTCGTTGAAGACGTAACATATTTTGATATTTTTGTTAATCTTATTCCAATCTTATGATAACGGTTTTGTTTTATCAGAAAAGTACATTTTTAAAAGAATGTAATTCAAAAATCTATGATTTAATACCGATCCAAAAACAAACACCAGGAAAGTTTTTTAAGATTAACTCAAACAGCTTTTTTTCAAAGAAGACCTCGTTTCAAAGAGATTACTCTTGAATCAAGTATGGGTTCGTTATTGTCCGTTTCGTCAATGTTTGTTTCTAGCATTTGTATGAAACAGAATTTTAATAATCCGTTTTATCTAGATGCTTACAATACATTTTTGAAAAAAGGTTGTATCAGAGGTATCAGTGATCAGATCTACTTCCCTAATACACCTTTTTTTCCATCATGACACTGTATTAGGATGAAAAAAAGTAAAGATACAAACTCATTTAAATATATATTCTGTCGGAGAAATTAAATGAGATGACATTGGTCCTATCCCTTTATTTTAACCACAATAATGTCAGGGGGGTCTTTTTGTAAATGTGTACGAAATCGCTGATATTTCCATGACAAAATTGCGGAATATTATATGCCTATTAATTTAGTACAACTTGTTTGAATATTTTGTTCTCAATGCTCTATAACTTTGCATTTGGGATTCCAACTATTTATATTTAAAAAAAAGTAATATACCGAACTCCAAGGAAAATTCAAAACGGAAATTCCCTTATCAAATGGCAAAATAAAAAGCTCAAACACATCAAACGAATGGAAAACACTGATGAGTCTAATTAAAACTAAACACATGTTTAGTGTATACGGAATAAGCGAGTATCTTTGGTGAGTTTCTTTATGATCTAAATTGTTGGTATTAGGGTGTCATAGTACGAATTGGTAAAAGAACGTATGAGTTAATCAAACGTAGATACGTAATTACATGAAAATAACCAACATGGCAGTCTCCGCCATCAGGATTACTGCACATATGCAAAAAATTGAAGAAAAAAAGAATTGAAAGATTTTGAATTCATTTGTATATGTATATAGATGTTCATATTGATGTTTCTACTGTGTGAGTGATGAGTACTCATATACCTTTGTCGTCATACATCAGTTCTACACTAAGACATATCAAGCTTAGTATAAAAATTCAAGTCATGTCTAATTTCTCTAACTTATGGGGTTTTTTTGGGTTTTTTTTCTATTTGATAGACGTTTATGATTCTTTTGTTAATGTAGATCGAATTTTGAAACATAGATACAACTTGCAAAATGCAAACTGAATAATGATTTTTTTATATGGCACTTTAATTAAATTTGTTTTCATTGTTTTCTAGGTACTTCTTATTAGCGGTGAGTACAAAAGTACAGTCATTGTATGTGTGGTTTCTCTAATTGTTAGCCAATTTATACTCTTACCCGAAAGGTTGTTTAATTTTTATTTTGACGTATGATTCTTACGTTAATCAAAATTATTGCTTTCCTTTAGTATAGCTATATTGACGTCATGGGAAAAAGTGATAATGTCTGATGAAATCACATAGAATGAACTTGCTCTTTTAGGTCAATAAATATAATGAAAAAGAAAGAGAAATTTTGTCTGCATATCGTCATATATACGATATTTCTTCTCCCTCGGCAAGAAAGTATTTTAGCTTTACGTTTTAAATTGAAAAAATTGAATTCTCTAGCGTGGAGAAATATAATTCCACGCTCGATGCAATTTTAGAATATGTTGCTTAATTATGCCTTTTTTTTTTGTCTCGCCGATATACTTATATTTTAATAACACAACGTTGTACAATGTTGTAGGGGAGAATTCAAAATGCATCTGTAGTCAGCCGTTATTGCAAATGTCAGATAAATTAAGCACTTACGCAACAGAAAGCTTGGTGCAAAAACGATCAATATATAGGTTGACAAAATGCATTTAGTATTAGTCATCGCACATGAACTTTTTATTTCTTAAGGAATTAAGGAATTTGGTAAGGATATATCAATGCAAAAATACCAAAGGTTCAGTGAAGAAGGTCATTTACACCCGGAAGTATTTGCAAACAATAATGAATGTTTTGAATACAATCATGTTTTGGGTATGAGCATTCCTGATAATGGCAAGTCTAGAAAAGCGCTTCGAACTCCACAGACTTATAAAGTGTTATCTTCAATTTTCTTTAAGCTAAATTTTAGATTTGTTTTAATGTATCTAATCATTACGATAAGATTAGTTTTAATTTATAGACATCATAATTCATATTTTGAATGGTAAAGCTAACTTTCATTTACTTATACCTTATTGCATCAGTCGAGTCAGTCTTTTTCCGCCATTTTCCAAAAAATAAATACCTAGAAAAGAGCTCCATAAACTTTCAATATTTTTAGCTTGTTTTGTTCCTTAACTAATGCTCTTCTGACTTAAAGTTTCAATTTTAAATGCTAGATTTTTTTTCAATTTCACCTAAGTGCATCCTTAAACCAGTTCATTTTACTTTTTACTATCAATCTCAAGTGACAGTATTGCTATTTGTTTGTTTAATCAACTTAGGAGGCAGTGCTTTGATATCAGCAAAGTTTTCCTTATAAATGAAAATAACACTTACGAAATATGGTGTTATGAATCATGTCAGTACCAAAGCGCTGACTGTTGAGCTAATGATACCATCGGGGATTAATAGTCCATCAGCACGGTATCGTCCAATGATATTACACGATGAAAAAATCACTTCATAGATTGTATGCGTCCGAAGTTTATATAGATACAAGCTCCAACCGGAACGCGTAACCTCAAAAATTATTAGAAAGCCAAAGATATATTTATACTTTAATATTTGAAGAGCGATATAATTAAAAAGGACCTTAATAAGATTTCTAATTCTACCTGAGAATAAGTTTGGTTATAGGCGTTTTAATCTGTCTTTTTTTCATCGTTTCTTAATTACTAGTTCATAAAATCATGGGATTGTGCTTAAACTCAGGAAAGTTAATCTACAAAGGTTTTGGCTGTTTTATTAAAGTCCTTGTGTTTTGTATGATCCCATACCTTACATATGTTTAGCTTTTCAAAAATTTAGTCACGAGCGTACCTGATTGGTGCGCACGCAATTTACTAGTATATTATTTGTGTTTTATTATACGATGTTTATGTTTATATCTGTTTTATTCTGATTCCTTTCATGATTTTTAAATCATAGTTTCAAATGGAATGGCATCAGGCAGGTACAAACGAGCACCATTTTGTAAGACCAGGATCGACCTTGCTTTTGTGATTGACTCCTCCAGAAGTATATCAATTAACGACTTCCAGAAACAAATACAATTTGTAAATGACATCGTCGACTTCCTGGATGTCGGTTCAGACAAGACACGGGTTGCTGCGGTATCTTTCAGTAATTATCTGTTCCCTCAATTTGGATTTAATGACTACACAACCAAGAAAGATGTACTTACTGCTATCAATGGTATTAAGCATTCTAAGGGTGGTGCAACCAGGACATATCTTGCTTTAGAACATACACATGAACACATTTTCGCACCTGGTAATGGAGAAAGACCAGACGTAGTAGATGTTGTTGTTATTTTGACAGACGGAGTTACAAATCCTGGCAGTTATGATAGATTTTCTGGAAGCCAAGGAAAAAAACAGACCCAAATTGAAGCAGCAAGAATTAAAGATAGAGGAGCTTATATATTTGCCATTGGAGTTGGGAGGGGGGTCAATGCCGACGAGCTCAATGGAATTTCCAGTGATCCAGATGAAAGATTCACCATCCAAGTGACAGGTTTTTCAGAGTTAGATTCGGATAAAGTTAAACAAATGTTGTTAAAACGTGCATGTGTTGGTAAGTAAATACATTTTATAGAAAGAAATTGAAATTAACGTATATATATTTATAGATTTTTTAATTATTATAAATAAAAGACAGAAATATATCTGAATTACACATTAATATTAGGATGAACTTGGCATTGTCACAAGAAATATAAAATCCTATGGTTGGGCGAAAATATGTTGTACAGCATAAGGCGTACATGAAAAGAAGATACAAAAATTGTAATAAAGTGGAGGATTAGATAGTGACTGCCACATTCAAATAATTTCAACGTTTAAATGAGGTGGACTACTTAAAAGCCGACATTTTTTTGGGTGGACCTACAATAATTTTTACATTTTCCAGATTTATTTTATCCCATACAGATTCTCTTTGACTGTTGAAAAGTCAATTGATTCATAAACGATTGTACTACTTGAAAATTACACGTCTTTTCGTCTTAGATACATGATTTTTCATTATTTGTTGTTGGCTTTGAACTAACTGTCAGTACCCGAGATTACTCTCAGATCTGTACTTTGTGTTCTATTTTGTTGTGAAGGGTGTATGAATTCCCTGACACATCCGGTCTGCCATTTGTCAGTTGTTTTTCGGCTGGTTTCGATCTGATGAGTTAAACCTTTTTGAACTGATTTTTGTAGTTTGTTCTTATGTAGTACTGTTACACTTTTGGCCCAGTCTAGGTGAAAGGTTTGGCGCCAGCTAACTTGTTTTACCCCGACAAATTCTATATGTGCCTGTCCTGTAATTTTGTAGTTATCGTTTATTGCCGTTTCTCATATTTTTTTTTTCGTATTTTGTTTTTTATAGTTTGTTGTGCAGTTATACCACTTTCCTAGGTTAGGGGAGAGTTGCGTCTTCAAACATGTTTAACCCCGCTACATTCTTTATGTGCATTTCCCAAGTCAGGAGCCAGTAGTTCGGTGGTTGTCGTTGGTTGTCGTTGGTTCTTGTCTGTCATATTTGTTTTCCGTAAATTGTTTGGTTATAAATAAGGTCGTTAGTTTTCTTTATTGATTTTTTTCACATTTCTTATGCTGGGGCCTTTTATAGCTGACTATACGTTATGGGTTTTCTCATTGTTGAAAACCGTACGGCTACCTATTATTGCTTACATTTACTTCAATCGAACTTTGGTGAAATATGTCTCATTTGCAATCACCACATCTCCTTATTTCATATTTATTCATGATCACTCGACCAGTCAGAACCATACTTGACCAAATAACCTCTACTTTTTTTTTAAATTTTAACTGTTTAAATAACTTTCTTTTTGACTGACATGACAACAGCCACAACGATGTAAAGATATATAAATGCAGATTTTTACATCTTTATGTAAGGCGATTTGGTGCCATATTATTATATATTTAATTCGTCTAAATAACAGCCCAACAATGTTAGATCTGTAAATTTGCAGACGCAAATCTTTTGTTCTTCCCTGGCCGGGATTCGAACTCATGCTACTGAGATATCGTGGCACCAAATCGCCTTGCACTATGCCCGACGCGCTAGACCACTTTTTATATTATACATAATTCGTCTAAATAACAGCCCAACAATGTTAGATCTGTAAATTTGCGGAAGCAAATTTTTTGTTCTTCCCTGACCGGGATTCGAAATTATGCTACTGAGATCGCCTTGCACTATGCCCGGCGCGCTGGATCACTCAACCACCTAGGCTCTATAAAAAATAAAGCTTCTGATGGCCGGGTGTTACCTTTCCTCGTCAGTTTTTATCTAGCGTCGTAACACAGTACATGATATATAAGGCATGAAGATGGACTATTACAGATCAGCTGAATTATCTATCGTAGAGGATCTTACCAATTAATGTAGGATGCAGTCACAGAAATAATTATATTATAAGTACGTCTGAACCAGTGATAACTCTACAACAGATATCTGTCGTAGAGTTGTCACTGGTTCAGACGTACTTATATATATGTGTGTGTGTGTATAAGTGTTGATAAATATGTTGTTAATGATTATATTATGTTTATTGTGAAGTTTTTGTTTCAGTGCTATATTAGATACATTTTAGATTTCAAACTGTTGTTCAAATTTTCTAGCAAAGGGAAATAGCTGTTGTTAGAAACAGTTCCTAAATTGATGAAATACAATAGATGCATACAAAAAAATAGATCTAGGTTGGTTGAGACTTGGTCGAGTATGGTTCAGACTAGGTCGAGTATGGTCCAGACTAGTTCGAGCATTGTTCAGACTTGGTCGAGAATGGTTAAGACTACGTCGAGTATGGTTCAGACACGTATAAAATGGTTAAATACTGGTCGAGTAAAGGTCGAGTACAAGTTCAGACTGTTAAGTATGGTTCAGACTACAGTCGAGTAATATCAAGTACATTTCAGACCAATTCAGACTGGTCGAGTACAAATCAGTACAGTCGAGTACAGATATAGGCCATTTCAGACTTTAACTGGTTTGTAGTGGATGTTCGTACAAGGACAGTGGTGTTTTGGATATGGGATAAAAAGTTTGATATGCTTACACATCATCTATTCATCCGCGTTAATATATGGAAATACATAATAAATGTGTATCGTCTAGATCAGTATTCTAAATAATACTTTTGTTTTGTAGAGCTCTCATTTTACAAGATTCGTCTGATTTAAAAAAAAAACTGCATATTATTTTTTAATTTTGTGACCTTTTTGATTAAGTATTATAGATACAATGAATAAGCGTTGATTCTTGAAAAAGAAACCACGAGCCCGGAGGGCGAATGCTTTGTTGTTCATGAATCAACGATTATCCTTTGTATCTCTAACTTAAACTATTGTGTTGATGTCTTTTCAAAATTAAAACCTTTTCTTAATTAGAAGGTATTGGATGCGAGCTTAAATAACCATGTTATCATTTCCAACGATGCATCCATAAATCTAAGTTCACAATTAATTGGTTAGAGAAATACAAATATAACATAACACGTCTGTCTTTAAATTATCAGGCATCTGAATATCATCCATAATTTACAAAATAAGACATATTCGAACTTATTTTTAAGTATATATAATAATAAAATTGAAAATGGAAATGGGGAATGTGTCAGGCGGGCTACCGAAATTTCTAGCAAAAAGCCTAATTCTAGGCACATCACGAATTACTTGCATAGGGATTTGCGAATAAACATTTGTAAAGATATGTAGTAAAACAGATGAAAGCATACTATATTTATAAAACAAAAAAGGACAAATTGAATGTAATCATTTTCTTTTCAAATATATGAAATAGCTATGATAATCCAAAAATAAACGGGGAAACTCGCTTTTATTACAAAAATATCCACAATAACATACAAAATAAGAAAAACGGAAACTCTAAAGAATAGGGACAACAAATCGAACCTAAACCGACAAATCTCTACCTTTAACTATACTTTTTAACTCATTGATTTTAATCATGTAAACCTCGCGGCTACCAACTTATACTATACGAATGTCTATTATGTATACATAAAGGTACAAGCCCTGTGTGTCCGTTGTACCGATGTGTATCATATGATCATTTATATATATAAAATAGACATTTAAATTGCAACCCATTGGTAGCCGAGATGTTTCGTCAATGTGTAGATGTCAGTCACACATAACAGATATCAAGGAGGGATTCAATTTCTAGTGAAGGCATATAAAAATTACAAAAATTAAAGGTTAGTTTTTAGATTAATTCCATAAGTGAACAGAAATCAGTAAATTAGCCAATGCAAACTTAATGAAATTAGGCACAAAAAGGAAACAATTGAATACAACATGTTGAGTCCATTTAAGCGACATATTGAGAAAGCGTTGATTCTAGAAAAAGAATCCACGGTAAATGAATAGGCTGACGTCACGACTATGGTTCAATGTTGCATTATCTTTCAAACGATTGGTTTTATGTTTCATCTTACAGTTTACCTTTTTTCACCACCTACTATTTAAAAAAAGTGGTGATTTTGTTACAGAAATCTTGTTATTCTCTCTTAATTACAGCAATAACAGAAATATGTATTTTTATCGGTCAGTATTCGATTTCATATCTGCATGATGAAAACATTCTAAATGTCTATATCAATTTTCATTTTATATAATATTTCTCTTGTGCTTCGTACATAGGAGGAAATAATGATCTCAAAGTTCTGTCTTTATCACTTATCCGTCAGTGCATATCACGGAGTTATATTCTTTACAAAATTTCATATCATATGTATTTTCTATGAAGACAGACTAATGTAGACATTTTGATATACCACTGAATTTTTAACAAAGTACCAAAAACTATGTACATGATTTCTAACTACGAATAACAAATGTCATTACTTGATAGAGTGATACTTGAGTAACTTCATTAAATCTGATTTTCGAAAATGTTTCTTCCTTACATATGCTTTGTTGTCATATTTCAGAAATAGAGACTACACCGGCGCCAACACCCCCACCTACCACAACACGTAAGTTCAAATATTGAAGGCAAACAAAACAACTTGATTAAAATCAAATCGTTTCATTTTCTCCTTAAATTTGTTTGTGGCTGGTGCACGAGCGACAACCACATATAACGGAGCAGAATGAATGAAATTATTTTAACTAGACTTTTTTTCTAAAATTGGCCATGGACGAAAACTGATTGAGTGTTACCAATTGGTCATTCATTTATGTATCAAATGTGAAATTTTTCTGGTGTAGGATTTTTGCATGAAGGCTTCAAACATAGATCAGGACGGTATTTTTATCTAGCAAATACAAGAGCTACATGCTATATCGTCTTACAAAGGTAGAGATGAGGCCAATTGAACATCCGAAATTGTGTATGTAATAATCAGAATGGTACGATGTATTACATATTCTTTACCAATTAAGGCTTCAATATTCAAGTAACATAACTATTCAATATTTGAAACTAAGTCAATGGCAATTAGACATCTATCAAACAAAGACAAAATGACAGGATAGCCACAACAACATGTCACCGTTTGGTGTTAAACATTGAGCAGAACATATACATTGAGACATTGTAAATGTTATTGGTAAAGCGAGTTATATAATAAAAAAACAAGTTTGGAAATAATTTTACTTTAATTAAATGTGTTCTTCCACACTTTAAGTCTTTATTGTATACTATTGTACACTCATTATCTTTGTAGCCGATAATAAAAACCCAGGTAAGTACCTTATTTCTTATTGATTCATTTCATAGTTGCATCTTACTTTAAATGCAAAGGATTTTATTAGTACAATTGCTACAAGAATCGATGTCATATTTCGATTTCAAGATATTAAAATATAATTAATTATTCATTATAAATAAGAAGATGTGGTATGAGTGCCAATGAGACAACTCTCCATCCAAGTCACAATATACAAGAAGGTAACAATTATAGGTCAAAGTACGGCCTTCAACATGGAGCCTTGGCTCACACCAAACAGCAAGCTATAAAGGGCTCCAAATTGATAGTGTAAAACAATTCAAACAGGAAAACCAAAGGTCTAATCTATATAAAAAACGAGAAACGAGAAACACCTATGAACCACACCAACAAACGACAACCACTGAACAACAGGCTCCTGATTTAGGACAACTGCAGAAAAAATGCAGCGGGTTTTATTGTTTTAACAGGCGCCAACCTTCACCCTAACCTGAGACAGTAGTGCAACATTGCAACATAAAAAGACACACTATAAAATATCTATTGAAATGGTTAAACTCGATCAAAAAGTTATTTAAACAAAAACAAGTAAACATACACTGAACCAATAAGTTTGATTTATGACACAATATCAATACAATAGTAAAACGTAGGTGTCTATATAACATAAACGTAACAGGTACTAATATAAAAAAGATGTAGGAAGATTGTCATGCCTGTTTTACCTATACACACAACTATACCGAACTCTTGACAATGCCCCAATAAAAAACGAGGACAGTCATATAAATTTGATGTATTTAAAGAACTGGGTGTCATATATTGAACTAAACTTTAACAAAAACAATAAAGAGTCAAAATGCGTTCGTACGATGTGCTAATGTCGTTAGCAGGGATACAGGGGTATGGGAAAGTAGAGCACCTCGTCTCTTGCTGGAAGGTAGGGATTCAAAAATATGTTATAAAGATGTTGGAATATTAGTAAAGATGCTGGAACACTGAATTCTAGCCTTGAAATCCATATATGACCTCTTTACTCTAAGTGTGTGTGTGTGTGTGTGTGTGTCGCTGTTTATTTAATTAGTTTGTTCTTTGATGATCGAGAGAAAGTTCAAGTTCAAGTCAGCCATGCCAGTATTTTCTTCACCGAATCCCTCCCAACCCTCTATTCCCAGTCAATGAGGCAGCAGTAGTGGTAATTTAATTTTCATGCAAGTAAGTTATGTAATTTTTCATATTAGTTAATCAAACACATTTGTGAATCTTCATATATTGAATTTTATCCATTTGAACATCAATAGTGACAACGATGAAAACATTTGTAATTGCCGGCAAAAATGTAGAAATCAAATATACATGTATTTTGTAAGAACTAACCAGTATCTTGCATCAGTTGAGTATTATTTATACTGCTTTTTTATCAAATTATACAGAATGTTGGGATTCAAAGTTCTTTGGTACGTTCTATGCATCAAATCGTACAAACAAACTTGAAGAAATACATGTACATGTAAAGATAAACACAATTTTATTCAAAAATTAGATATTAGATTCTGGTAGCAGCAACTGTCCTAGATGTATTTGTTTATTCGTCTATGCTACTATTAATATGAACAAGATAAATCTAAAAAATTAACACACGAAATATGATTAAAATTGCAGGTTTTAAAATAAAGAAAGCAGGTACATAAATCGACAGAGAGAAAAAAACAAACAAAAACAAATATACCAGAATTAGATGAAAGCCAACATTTAATGAACTGATGTGGGCTACATATTACCAGAATTTTTCATTCAAAATATATATATACCAGTAGTCATATATCAATATTAGGCTTGTATTCGTAATTTATTCTGCATTTCTTTAAAGAGTGTGGGAAACTATTGGCAGACATTTTCTTTGTACTGGACCAATCTTCGAGCTTAAGAACAGAAGGAAATTTCAACAAGACGTTAAATTTCGTAACCGAAGTAATCGATTATCTTCACGTATCGCCTACAGAAACACAGGTTGGGGCTCTTAAATTTAGCAACAACCCCGAGATCCAATTCCATTTAACAGACTATACAGACAAGCAAGATGTAGCAACAGCCGTTTCAAGGATAAAGTGGAAAGGGGGCAATACATACTTAGATAAGGCATTAAGAATGTTGAGGACAGAAGGACTAAATAAAGCATATGGTTCTAGGGAAGATGTTCCACAAATCGCTGTAATAATTACAGATGGTGTCTCTACAAATCCTTATGCAACAAGGCTAGAACTGAAACAGCTTCACAGTCTAAACTACATCTTATTTGCTATAGGTAAATATACGTCCCAAATGCTTGCCTACCAAGTACGATTCAATTCTATCATTAAAAAAATGAGATATAACTTTCTCTAGAGACGACATATACTATGTAAACACAAAATGAATTGATCCGAAATTAGGTATGCGAAAAAACCTATGTGAAAAATAGATTATTATTAGTGTAACACATATGTATCCAAACAGTATTTGCAGTTAAAGAAATAGACTGTGCAGTCAGAATAACCGATTAAAGATAAACACTATCTATGTTAACAAAAGAGAGACAACATCAAATCAGGATAAAAATAGACGATGGAAACTAGAATGCAGTCAACGACACAGAAAAAACTCAATATTTTGATGAAAAAAAATTTATTTACTAATCCGGGTGCGGGATTTTCTCCCTGTGTTGGTGGCTTTCGGGCTGTTTTCTACTCTTTGGTCGGGTTGTTGTCCCTTTGACGCATTCCCCGTTTCCATTCTCAATTTTATTTATTAAACCGGAACTGATATCCGATAAATATGAGCGCTCTAATTCATTGTTCTGTTCTCTTGACTTACTTCCAGAGGATCGGTTGAGAACAAAACTTTGCGACAAAAGAGATGATTTCAGCTTCCCAATTGTGAACATTCCATTTCTATGTAGCAACATTACAGAAGCGCCTGCATATGGTGTATATATCTCCCAGTTGATACGATATTCCAGGGCTTGTATTTCCTATCATCATTTCCTTGATAAACGGTTGCTGATCACTAGGAAGCTATTACACCAAGAGTTCCAAGTGGTGAAGTTGAAAATATCTCTTCGAAAATTTTACGGACACATCACGAGATGGTTGACCGGTACGGAATATCTGTTTCATAGATGACGACTGATATGTTCCAATAATCGTAACCACAATCCTGCCCACCTTTTTCTCGAATGTGATCTACCGAATAAGACTTATCACCGGATTTTCACTTATACGAGTAACACGACGAGTGCCACATGTGGAGCCGAATCTGTTTCCCCTTCCGGAGAACCGGAGACCATCACAGGTTTTGGTGGAGTTTCTGTTACTTAGTCTTAAGTTATCTTTTTTGTGTATACTGTTGTTTGTCTTTTGGTCTTTTTCTTATTTTGCCATAGCGTTGTCAGCTTATTTTCGACTTATAAGTTTGAATATTTTTTTGGTATTCTGTCGCCCTCTTTCTAGGAATAGAATATTAATAATAATAATAATAATAATAATAATAATAATAATAATAATAATAATAATTATTACTATTATTATTATTATTATAAATCTATCATGTAGGAGTCGGACCTAACAGAAACCCTGCGGAATTGGCTCGCATTGCTAACGACCCAGCCAATGTATTTGAAGTAGAAAGCTTAGATGGACTACAAGCCATCAGAGAGTCTCTGGTCACGAGGATATGTGCCAAAGGTGTTAGTAAGTAGTTCTAAAGAATTATCAAATACTCTTAGGTGGAAAGAATTGAATAAAATACAAAATAGTCCTTGCATTTGAAGAAATAAACGAACAGGTGTACAGTGTGTGTAAAACTAGTAATTAAAATAGTTAAATTAATATGAACAAAAAATGAACAAAAGATAATCTCAATGACATAGTTCAAGGGTCGAATAGGTTGTACGTCCCCTCCATTTGATCGCAAAAAAATATAATTGTTGGTATAATATTATCTAACAATTTGCTTCGATCAGTTTGGCTTCATTTTTACTTGAACGGACAATTACACCCCCTCCTCTTTTTCTTCAAACCCTGGATCCACCCCGACTATAAAAGAATTATACTTGAGAGTGAATCGTCATGATCTAGGTGTAGTAAAGTGTATGCACTCGTTTTCCGTGTAAGATCCTCTTGAGAGTTAATCGTCATAATCTAGGTGTAGTAATGTGTATGTACTCAATTAGCATCATTCTTAAGAACATGATATTATTCATATACAATATATATAATATATATGAACATTGTCGAAAATATGTACGAGTTTTTCTACTGTTTCGTAGCAAGTACAATTACTTTTTATGTTTCCGATAATGTACATATATATATATATATATATATAGTCAAATGCGTTTTGTTAAAATATACTTTTTCACTCATTTGGTCTTTTGGAAAATGTTGTTTGTGCTGTGTTTAGACCCCTCTACCAATTTGTTTTGCATGCACACGTATAAAAATTGCGGTTTTTATCCAACGCAATCATAGGTTTGAACGTTGTTTTCTATTTAGACTTGTTTATATATTTTCGTTTGGGCTTGTATTATATTTGCCTTCGGGTTTATATGATCCGTTCATCCTATTTTGACTCTTTCAAAATTCAAGAGTCTATCCTAAATTGAGGTAAATTATATGGCCTTCCAAATACCGTTTCGATTCCTAACATCACTGAAGAGACATTAATTGTCGAAATCCGGATATGGTGTACAATTTTTTGCACCTCATGTTTGCGGTAAACCATCTTTTCTGCAAGTTTATTGTTTTTTATTTGGTAATAATTTAATAATAAGATCTAAATTTTTACATCTTGTAATCCGTTTATTTGGCAATCGCCAATGGCAGTCAGCAGCATTTAAGAACATCAGTTGTTCGACCTGCTAGTCAAATGCGTTTTGTCAAAATATACTTTTTCACTCATTTGGTCTTTTGGAAAATGTTGTTTGTGTTATGTTTAGACCCCTCTACCAAGAAATTTGTTTTGCATGCACACGTATAAAAATTGCGGTTTTTATCCAACGCAATCATAGGTTTGAACGTTGTTTTCAATTTAGACTTGCATATATATATTTATATATGTATATTGTTTTTATCCTGCAGTTTACATCTGACACTTTAAAGTTTAGTAGATTAAATCTAAATACTATAGATTTCAAAGAAGTTGGCCTAGTTTAAAGACAGACCGCGAAGAGGATCCCAAAATGGACTGTCACACACATTATCGTTTGCTCAATATGGTATCTGAGTAACGGTAGACTTTATTTGTACAAGTACAAATAAAGCAACAATTTATTTGTGTACCTATTTTTTTGTACAATAGTTAGCTGATTACAGGATATTTACGCTTATTCCTTTTGTCTAAATACTGATTGTGATAGAAAAATACGATATATTATTTTTTAGGCTTGAAACGAATTCTGATTAAACATACATTATTAAATAAGTTTCATATGATATATTTTCGTATATTACAGAAGAAACGAAAAACCCTTAAATAAGATGAATATGAAAACACAGGTAAGTTTTTGATTGTTCATTTGCATGTTTTGATACGTGTGAATCCTTATATCATATTTCGAATTGCAATATTTTACACTAATGTTAGTTGGTTTTTTTATGTTAGGGTTCTTTTTGGGTAAATTGTGTGATTTTAACAATGAGAAATAAGAGTTTCTACAAAGGAGTAGGTTCAGTAAGACCCCTTTTAGGTCCCATAATATAGCAGTTTTACAAAATTGTTGAAATGTAAACGTTTAGTTATTTATTGGAAAGTAGAATACTTCTGCTGCATAAATATTGGCTGTTTTTGAAAAAACAATGCACATATATCGGGTACTAGCACCCTTAAGTCATGCTTAATTACTGAAATGTTCATAATTTAAGCATTTGAGGTAAATTTTAGACGGTTTTCGTCTTAATTGGAAGTGGCCGCATTTGTGTTCATTCTTAACATTTGAATATAAGTTGTATTTTATGATAATACATAACATATATAAAGGTTGAGAGTGAACACGATTGCGGCCACTTTCATTTTTGACAAAAAACATCTGAAAAGTGACATATTTTGGCATATTTGATAGATTATTCATATTTCAGCTTGACTTTGAGCGTCTGAAATGACTAAGCCAGTTCAAATCTTTCACATAACATAATTGAATCGACTGAAGTAGACAGTTAACTGTTTAAAAAGTGTTCAAAATCTTTCATCGGATGAACCTGAAATTTGAGGCCAAAATCGGCCCTTACCGGACCTACTCCTTTAAGTATATTTGAGTGTTACTGTTTGAGCATGTTTAGAATTTTGTACTACATTGTGTACTATTTGTATTAATTTTTGACGTAGTTATAAAATCAAGATAATCTAGCAAAAAGTAAAATCACAAAAATACTGAACTCCGAGGAAAATTCAAAAAGGAAAGTCCCCAATCAAATGGCAAAATAAAAAAAAAACACATCAAACGAATGGATAACAACTGTCATATTCCTGACTTCGTACAGGCATTTTCTTATGTAGAAAATGGTGGATTGAACCTGGTTTTATAGCTAGCTAAACCTCTCACTTGTATGACAGTCGCATCAAATTCCATTATATTGACAACGATGCGTGAACAAAACAAACAGACACAATAGGTAAAAAAGTCAAAAATAGGGGTACAGCAGTCAACATTGTGTTATCATCTTAATCACTATAAAAGCAAACAAATGTAACGAAGAAGCACAAAAAGGCATATATCAAATTTAACATCCTCATTTTGCTTATATTATACGATTTTATTTATCTATGTAAAATCCACCCATAAAGGATGGAAGGTTTTAAGTACTGGCGTAAAATCGCGCGTTTGAAATTCGCACAGGTAGACATAAAATAATTTTGTCGTTCAAAGTATGAGGGGATACATAAATACAGAGTCACGTAAAATAGATATAACAAAAACAGACTTAACAGTAAAAGTAATATTAATAAATAAAATAAAATAATTGTGTGGTACAAAGTATGACGATATACATAAGTACAGAGTCACGTCAAATGTATATCACAAAACACAGACTCAACAGTAAAAGTAATATTAATAAATAAAATAATTTTGTCGTTCAAAGTATGACGGGATACATAAGCACAGAGTCACGTCAAATGGATATCTCAAAAAAACAGACTTAACAGTAAAAGTAATATTAATAAAGATAAATAAAAGATTACTATAACACGTTATTAAGATGATAAACAACGTCAGTACGCAAAATCTATACTTCAAGACCATCGTGTACTATTTGTGAAGTTGATACGGAATATTTATCAACAAATTCGTGGTACCTTCCGATGAACTTTTTTAGAAAAAGGACGAGACGTTCTTTGACATACCCCTGGTTCATCAACTTTCTGCTCAGACACTGGTGACGTTTTACAAAGTCTGAGTAGGAGCTGCAAGCTCTTGAATACCGAATAAGTTGGGAAATGTATATCCCATATGCAGGGGAAGTTGGTATATTGCTACTAAGGTGGGGGAAATTGATAATTTCAAAATTAAAATCGTCTCGTTTGTCATAGATTCTGGTACTGAGATGACTGTGTATGTCAAATTCGAGGTATAAGTCTAAAAATGAGGCGGAGGAAACCGTGTCTGTTGTTTCTTTAATTTCTAGTTCTGGTGGATATATTAATGGAACCCAATCAGAAAGGTTCGGATTGTTAATGGAAAGAACATCATCAATATATCTGAAAGTGAAATTAAATAACATGGATTCTTTGATCTTCTTGTTTTTGACAAGTGTCTGAAGGAACTCCGATTCATATGACAATAAGAAGAGGTCGGCAAGGAGAGGCGCGCAGTTTGTTCCCATAGGAATGCCGACAATTTGTTGAAAAAGTCTACCTCCAAATTCAACAAATATGTTGTCAATAAGAAACTCCAGCATACTGATCACTTGTTCCTCTGTGTAGCATGTTTTACCTTTTTGTTCACTATTAACAAAATATGCCTTATGGTATCTTAAAGTAATAAATGTATAGCGTATGCTACCATTTTTATGATGAAAAGCATTGTGGATTATTTCTTTTAGACGGTTTTTCAATTTCACATGGGGAATGGCGGTATACAAGGTTGAAAAATCAAAAGTTTTGATAGAACTAATTTCAGAAAAAGACCGAGATTTAAAATTATCCAGAAGTTCTTTAGAGTTTTTAAGAATCCACATATGGTTAATACCACTACGCGAGTAAACAGTTTCACAGTATGTCTAAAGACCCTCTTTCACTGCGGACAGAATTTTAGTCAATTTAATGGACAATTCTTTAGTGGAACATGCAGATAAACCGGCAATGTACCGTTGTTTGTACGGAATTTTGTGAAGTTTAGGTATCCAATACAAACAAGGTAAGTCCTCCGATTTGTTGTTCAATGCAATGTTCATTGAAACCATGAAGGACTTATGATTCGCCAAAATCTCATCCTTGTCAAATGATATGTTTTTGTATGTGGGATTACCTGAGTGCTCATTTATTCCTAATTCTTTTACAAGACACTCGTAGTAATACGATTTACATATAAAGAGAATATTATTTGAAGCTTTGTCCGCAGGAACAACAACATACTTATCTTGAAGAGAAGATAGACATTTCACAGCCTCTTTGTCTCTGAAAACGGACTTTGGTCGATCATTCACACAGTTTTTCAACTTATGAATGCGACGTTTTATCAGAGACCTGATTGTTTTGACCCATTCTGACAAAGTGTCTAGTTGAACTTCTTCTCGTTTAGCCCATGCTCTGGCGTAGTCCTCAATAGAATCCATAATTATTTTGAAGTTATGGTTCCAATTGATGTGTTGGGGTTCTCTAAACTTAGGACCATGAGAAATCACCTTTCGGAGATTTTCATTGTGAATTATGTTTAGATCCCCAGTAATAACTTGGCCAGAGGGGCCGTAATTGTAAGGCGAGTGGTAACAGTCACATGTCAGAGGGTTTTTTAGGTATTGTTCTAAATCAAGGTCCTGTAATGCTTGTTTATAGTTAAATATTTTGGGTGCAATGGTTTTGGTGTAGCTGTAGCAACTGTTAAACATGCAGTAGAAGACAAATATTTGTAATTCCTTATATTGTATATGTTATATTTGCAGAATACATTACTATTCAAAGATACAGAAAAGACTTAACGGACGAACCAGAAGAGGAATTCTATGAACATTGTACAGTTTTTATGTCTATTGTGTATATGTATGTATTAAACATCAGCATTGCAATTTTATTGTTCTTTGGATAATTAACCTATTTGATAATCTTTTTCACAAAAAAAAATATCAAGGTGTTCACATGAAATCGTCTAGTTTCAGTGGTTTACCCTCTCCCTGTTCCTTGGTGTATTATTGTTTTGTTCCTTGGTGTATTTTTGGTTTGTTCCTTGGTGTATTATTGGTTAAACACTACAACCCGGGCTTGTATTTCCTATCATGATTTCCTTGATACTGGGTTGCTGCTCACAAGGAAGCTATTAAAACAAGAGTTCAAAATGGTGAAGTTGAAATCATCCCTTCATAAATTTTACGGACACCATCACGAGTTGGTTGACCGTTATGGAATATCCGTTTCACAGATGATATCGGATATGTTCCTTATGTCGTAACTACAATCCCGTTCCCTTTTCACGAATGTGACCTACCGAATTAGACTAATTACCGGGTTTGTAATAACATGAGCAACACGACGGGTACCCGGTGACACAGGATCTGCTTACCCTTCCGGAGCACCTGAGATCACCCCCAGTTTTTGGTGGGGTTCGTGTTGCTTAGTCTTTAGTTTTTTATGTTGTGTCTTGTGTACTATTATTTGTCTGTTTGTCTTTTTCTTTTTTAGCCATGGCGTTGTCAGTTTATTTTCGATCTTTGAGTTTGAATTTCCCTCTGGTATCTTTCGCCCCTCTTCCAAAGTAGCAATACATTTTTTAAAGAAAGGTTATGAGTAATTTTATTCGTTAATTTTAAAATGTAAACTCATTACAATATATTGGTGTTCACTTTTGAAAATATTTCCAAGATTATTTTAGATTCTGGAATTTTTAGTTTTCAACCTTACATAAATCGTTGCTGAATTACCACACATTCTGGAAGGGTGGGAAAGACTGTTCACATAGATGATCAATCCGGCATTTTTTAAAGAGAGGTTATGAGTAATTTCTTTTATTGATTTTCAATTGTTGTACCCTTACAATAAATTGAGGTTCACGTTTGAAAATATTACCAAAGTTATTTTAGATTCTGGAATTTTTAGTTTTTAACCTTACATAAATCCTTGCTGAACTACCACACATTCTGGAAGGGTGGGAAAGACTGTTCACATAGATGATAAATCCGTCAAATACATTATGTGCTTACCAAAAGTAAAGGTCATATAAATTTATGCGACTGTCATACAAGTGAGAAGTTTAGCTAGCTATAAAACCAGGTTTAATCCACCGTTTTCTAAATAAGAGAATGTGTGTACCAAGTCAGGAAGATGACAGTTGTTATCCATTCGTTTGATGTGTTTGAGCTTTTGATTTTGTCATTTCATTGGGGACTTTCCGTTTTGAATTTTCCTCGGAGTTCGGTATTTTTGTTATTTTACTTTTTAGGAATTGCTTTCTTTATTTTGTTGTATTTGATGTTTTCCTTCAGAAGTTGTTTTTTTTACTGAAAATGTAATGGTAACCAAAATTTGATAATATAAAAAAAATAACAATAGTACTTTATACAAGTTTTGGTTCAGTAAGCTTAAGCCTAAACTCTAGGGGTTGGACATTGTTAAAGGAACCTGGCAATGAGGTGGCCGGTAACGAGAGTCTGCGAGGAAATAAAGTGGGAGTCAGCGGAGGGAAGCAGGAGTACGGGGTAGTAACCAAGAGAAAAAGGGAAGTGAAAAATAGGGAAATGCTGGAAAGTTTCTTTGACCGATTTTTGACTGGAACCTAAAGAAAGAAATTGGGAGTATGTGGGAGGCAGTGGGAGTTGGGGAGGTAAATGGGAATAAAGGACCCCATGTCCACCCTGGCACCACATTTGTAAAATTGTGAATTTTGTTTTATGTAAACAGGGCCATGCATTTGACTGTGAACTTAGAGCTACGTAATAAGTTTGAACTGCATGTAGCAGTGTTATATGAAATCTGAAGTAAAGGGTCATTGTAAGAAAACTACAGTATTTATATCAACAATTAAAGTTGTACATTTAAAATGTAAGTTGGCCTATTTATAGTATCGTTTATAATATTATTATTTTAGTTATACATGTGATTTGTCGAATGCAATATCGATCTTATACAGTTATATTTTCTTCTTTCATGGCTTTACATGCCAACTGTTACTTCAAGAAAAAGGATCTTGATAAAAAAACAATTAGCGGGCATCAAGTTTTGCGGTCGGAACGTAAGAGATATTGTATCGTTAATGCAATTAAATACAAATCAACTTCCAAATCTGGGGCGGGGGGATAAAAAAAATCAAGACAGGAAAAATCAGAAAAATAAATATGTCTGTCAAAATGATTTATTAAAAAATGCAGTATTTATATATATAAAAAAGTAAACACAAAAAAGCAGTATTTAAAATAAAAAGAAAACACAAAAGGCGACACATAATGTATGTTAATCTTAAGAAAAACATGTATTTGAATTTATTATGGTCACATTACAATAAATATATGAAGAGACATTAATTGTCGAAATCCGGATATGGTGTACAAATTTTTGCACCTTTTGTTTGTGGTGTACCATCTTTTCAGCAAGTTTATTGTTTTCTGTTTGGTATTAAATTAATAAATAGATCCATTTTGTTACATCTGGTGATCCGTTTATTTGGCGATCGCCAATGGCAGTCAGCAGGGTTTAAGAAAATCCGTTGTTCGACCTGCTAGTCAAATGCGTTTTGTTGAAATATACTTTTTCACTTTTTTGGTCTTTTGGAAAATGTTGTTTGTGCTGTATTTAGACCCCTCTACCAAGAAATTTGTTTTGCATGCACTTGTATAAAAATTGCGGTTTTTATCCAACGCAAATTTACAGATCTAACACTGTTGGGCTGTTGTTTAGATGAACTATATATACAGAATGTATTTTCAGCCTTGTATCACCATCGCTGCTGGTGATCCGATGGATAAATAAAGGCAACAGTAGTATACCGCTGTTCGAAATTCATAAATCGATTGAGAAAAAAAAACAAATCCGGGATACAAACTAAAACTGAGGGAAACACATCAAATATAAAATCTGTCGTAGAGTCGTCACTGGTTCAGACGTACTTATATATATATATATACTTTGTTAAATCTTGTGATGCGTTTATTTGGCATTCGCCAATGGCAGTCAGCAGGGTTTAAGAAAATCCGTTGTTCGACCTGTTAGTCAAATGCGTTTTGTTTAAATATACTTTTTTCACTTTTTTGGTCTTTTGGAAAATGGTGTTTGTGCTGTATTTAGACCCCTCTACCAAGAAATTTGTTTTGCATGCACACGTATGAAAATTGCGGTTTTTATCCAACGCAATCATAGATTTGAACGTTGTTTTCAATTTAGACTTATTTATATTTTTTCTTTTGGGCTTGTATTATATTTGCCTTCGGGTTTATATGATCCGTTCATCCTATTTCGACTCTTCAAAATTCAAGAGTCTATCCTAAATTGAGGTAAATTATATGGCCTTCAAATACCGTTTCGATTCCTAACATCACTGAAGAGACATTAATTGTCGAAATCCGGATATGGTGTACAAATTTTTGCACCTCATATGTGCGGTATACCATCTTTTCCGCAAGTTTATTGTTTTCTGTTTGGTATTAAATTAAAAGATTCATTTTGTTACATCTTGTGATCCGTTTATTTGGCAATACCAATGGCAGTCAGCAGGGTTTAAGAACTTCCGTAGTTCGACCTTCAGAAACTTTTCTCTGCAATCAATTATATGGAGTGTGCCTCGTACATACATTGATATACGTCATAGTACCCAACTAGGTATGGTAAGTCAACGTTTTAATATTCAAAAAAAAAATTTGATTAAAAAAAATAAAAAAATATGTTCAAAACTTGCAAATATATATGCAATATTTTTCTATATATAGTAAAAAAAAAATTTTATGTTCAAAACTTCAAATATATATGCAATATTTTTCTATTTATATTCAAAAAATAAAAATTTATGTTCAAAACTTACAAACATATATGCGATAGTTTTCTATTTATATTAAAAAAATAAAAAAATTATGTTCAAAACTTACAAATATATATGCAATATTTTTCTATTTATATTCAAAAAATGAATTTTTATGTTCAAAACTTTTAAATATATATTCAATATTTTTCTATATATATATTCAAAAAATGATTTTTTTAATTGCAATATTTTATATATATAGATGTGATAAAAAAATATATAGATTTAATAATATTGCATTCTGGGTAATATTTGTAATGGAAAGAAGACAACTCGCCCCACTGCCAAATCGCCCCAGACCGAATCGCCCTAACTTTCAACCAACTCGCCCATTCATGTTAACCAACTTGCCCTACTTATGAAAAATAGTTTCATCCGGCTGAATTTAGGCCTGCAAACTTGCCCCACTAATGAAAAGAGTTAAATCCTGCTGAATATAGTCCTGCCAACTCGCCCCACTTGTTAAAAAGAGTAAAATCCCGATGAATTTAGTCCTGCCAACTCGCACCACTTATGAAAAGTAGTTTAATATACACAATCTCCCCAACTGTACTGCTAAAATAACAATAGACAAAAAAACACTTGTAATACTACTAAAAAAAGAAAATTTAATATATGATTCTGATTGAAATTAAATGATGCTTCATTTCGTAAAATAAAATTGTAGATGTATTCATTATTATGTAATTGCTGTATTTATTTGAGAATAACTTATTTTTTGCAAGCTTATTTAAATAATAATGGCAAATCATTGGCGAAGCTTACGTTGAGGCAACCAATGCAGTTGCTTTGGTAAAAAAAAAATGAAAAAAAAATTGTGTGAGAATAATTTCTAGTATATGAGTGTCTGGATGCGGTTTACAGAATACAGTAAATTGCCATGAAATTAATTTAAAGACTGGCTGCGGTTTACAGAATACAAAAAATTGCCAAAAAAAATAATTTAAAGACTAGAGGTTTGAAAAAGGTGCTAAAATATAGATGAAAGTAAATTATGGGCGAAAAGAATTAAAAATAAATGTTTAAAGACCCCCATCCAAACGATCATACATGACCGGTAACGTCTAAAA